TAAATAAAAAGTAAAAAAATGAAGAAGTAAATAAACAAAAAATAAATAAAAAAAAAAATTAAATGAAAAAATAAAAAAGTAAGTAAACAAATGAAGAAATAAATAAAGTAATGCGTAAGTAAATAAATGAATAAATAAATAAATTCAAAGTAAATGAGCATTTGAATGCAATGCACTATAATTCGGACACTCCAACTCCAACTTAGTTCAAGCAAAGAAAATAAAGACACCAATCAAATGCTTCAGAGCTGCTCTGGCCAGTCTATTGCAATTGCAGCGGATGGGTAACAATTCGAAAGTTTTCAAGCAGTTGCCGTGCAACAGCTAATCTGATTCGAGCATCCGGTGGCTGGCGCTGCCTGGGTGCATATGTTGTGCCGCAGACAGCGAATTGCCAAATGCAACTTCATTGCAATTAAACACTCAATTTGCAGTCCCTCGCTTCGCAATGTTTATAAATGAAATTTGGGCAAAGGTAAAGTTTGTGTGCCGCGGGCAGCAGCAAGCGAGCAAGACAGAGAGAGAGAGAAGGAGAGAGAGGCAGAGTGGAGATAGAAATGGGAAACTGGCAGTGAGAGGTGAAAGACTGGAGACAACGTCAACAGAAGTCGCAAAAACAAATAGTAAAAGCAAAATGGCGCCCCGGAACTTTGCTTGTTGTGGACCCCAAGTGCGAGTCGGGTGCAAGGGGCCGCGGGGAGGGTCAGGTGAAGACGCTGATGCTGCGCATTTGCTGTAGATTATTACAAAAGTTTAAATACACAGACAGATAGAGCGACGGCAAGTTGTGCTTGTATAAAGGCCTCTGGTGTTTTGAGTTCTGCCTGTCGACGACAACGACGACGACGACCAGAGCGAGTCGGAGCCAGCCCAGCGATGCTCTCGAGCAGCCAGAGAACTCGATTCGAGTTGGGGCTTTCAAATAGCCGCGGCAGCTACAATTGCACATGGCAGAGAGTTTTCAAAGAGCTCGTGGGCTCGAGCATGTCGTCAGATCGTAAATTGTTTGCTTCCAACTTTGAAGATGTCAAAAAGCAGGCAGCAGGGACAGCCAAGCGCAGGTAACGGCACAGGTAATTGCGCTCGCTATCGGTGCTGACATTGAGCAGACAACTAATTGCCAGAGATTAGCTGTAATTGATAGTTCAAAAAGCAGCCATATGTAATTTAGATAGATATTTTATATACATGTTGTCTCAGCATTAGAAACAGGCTCAACCTAAAATTTTCCTGCTGCCCTGAACAGAAAAAAAGGGGAAAGTGCTAATTGCTATGTCAGGAGCTAAGTTGAATTTCTGGCAATTTCCTGGCAGGAGTTGCCAGCTCCAGCTCCCCTTCAGCAGCAGCCCTGTGTGTGTGTGTGTGTGTGCGTGAGGATGATTCAAGCCTTTTGTGTATCTTTAAGCGATGTCTGGTTATTTCCGGGCGTCTGCTGCTGGCGTTTACTTTTAGTTTTAATTTGACAGCCCGCATAATTCTGCTATGATTTGCACTTCTTAATTAATTATTTTTCGCTTTCGCAACTAAATGCGGATCGGAGCTGTGTCAGCAAATAGAAGGCACACACACACGCACACACACTCACATACTGCTGCCACATGTGGGCCAAGCCAGGGCAACCCTTCAGCCCAGAGCCTGGCAAAACAAACTTCGACAAAAACTTTCTCCTTTTCAATTTTTCTCTTATTTTATTATTTTTTTTTCGTGTCTCTCTCTCTCTTTTATTTTTTGGTGGCTTGTAGCCTGGGTCTGCCAGGCAAGGATTGGTTCGGTGCGAGAGATTCGCAAATGCAGTTGGCATTTCTTGGCACCTTTGACACATGCGGCATATGCGTGGAGCAAAATCAATCCCCCAATGAAATGGCTTAGCGTGCAAATTCCCAGCTTATGTCAATTGACGGGCAACGATGCAGACACGCCCGACACGCTTTTTGTTTCATTTAAATAAGGCGCCTCCGCCAATATATTTCTCTTTTCCTTCCAATATATATGCGCAGTCGGGCTGCCAGCATTGTTAAGCCCCATCACTGTGGCTGTGACTACGCCCCCGCCTCCGACCCGTCGCACGCTTCGCCCGTCTGTCAATTGCATTTAGCTGGCTATGCAAATTGGCAAAGCGTTTGCCATTTTCCATTCGACGTCTGCTCATTATTTAGACGCTTAACGCGCATCGCTCTGCATTAGGTGATTAAGTTTTGCAGCGCCACCTGGCGGCGTTGCCAGCTCAAATTACGCTTTGTGCGTTTTTCCGCCATCGCCGTCCATTCACATTTTTGTTGGGGCAATGCGGTTTTTGTTTTCGCTTCCAATTGTCGAAGCTCGCGCGCTTTACACGCATTCAATTTTTTGCCTCCATTGCGAAATCCTTGGCGGCGGGTGCCAAATGTCAAAGTGCTACCAGCAGAGAGAGTGTGTGAGAGAAAGAGAGAGAGGGAGATGGGATATGTTGTTGTCATCTATACATCTCCACCATGCCCGGACATGTAAATTGCTCTGGCAAACAAATCACGTAGTCGGTGTACCGAGCACCGTGCCAGGCTCCTTCTCCTACCCATATGAAAAGCCAGAAGCCAGCAGGCAGCAGGCAGAAGCTGCTGTTGGATTTTCGCAGCGGTGTTTTAGCTGAATGGCTGAAAGCCACTACCACCAGCACCACTTAGCCAAAAAGTGAGGTGGCAACCGCAACGAGAGCCGTCATGCTGACTGTTCGCTTGCCTGGCAAATCTTCAGCTGTCGAGTGCCAAGTGTTTGCTATGAAAATTTTGCCACGCATGGAAATAGATATCAAACAACAGTTCGCTAAAACAATATTTATTTCTTATATACTGCAACTTAGGGGCCAAATTGAAAACAAAGTTGCCCAGGAATTCGCATGCTATATGGAAAATGCAAACTGGAATTCTTTGGAAAAGCCTTTCTAATTACACGTGAATGTGCATTAAAAGTTTGCACAAGAAGTCGATGTAAAATCAATTACCAAATGGGAAAGAGTCGGCAGCGCAATGATGCAATAAATTAGAAAGAGAGAAGAAGAAGAACGCATTTGAAGAAAGCTAATGAAATGTGCCAAAGAGTGAACGAGGGCCTGAGCTGTGCTGGGCTGGGCTGGGCTGGGCTGGATTTTCAGATGAAATACGTAAAGTTCATAGAATTTCTTGTGTCGAGCACTTGCCAAAGGCGGAAATTACCAAAAATGTGCCGAGCACAACAAAAACAAGAATAATGTGAATGAAAATTAAGGCAAGTGGAGTTAAAAGTTAAGCCAACAAATGAAGATGAGGCTGCCATTCGAATGAAGACAGAGAGAGAGAGAGAGAGAGAGAGAGCGAATGAGTGAGAGTGTGAATGAGATGGGCATATAGCTACATGTGCCTCTGACGTATGGCCTATCGCACACACACACACACACACTCACATTCATATCGACTCCCCTCACAGCAGACAAACTGAACTCTGGCGCAATTTTACGCAACAACAAAAAGTTTAATTGAGGATAAACTTTGCTGCGTTTGCGCTGCTGTTGAGAATCGACCAAGGGGAAAGGGCTACGGAGTTGTTAGGAGGGGTTGGCAAGGGGGGAGAGGTGAGCGGTTGGTATATGGCAAGCGTGTGCCGCTTATCTTTGCCGTTTAAGTTTTCGCTTTCAACTTTGCATTAGTTAGTTGATGCAGCCCACACACACACTCACACACACACACATAGAGAGAGCCCTCATTCCTTAAAGTCTTAAAGCCCACAGAAGAGAAATCGAATGAAATAATTCGAACATTTATTGGTTCTCGTCCGTTCGCTCGTCTTTTGTTTGCCAAAGCCAAATGAATGGCAAATATGAGGGAAAAGCGCATGAGAAACGACATGAACCTGAACTCCGGCCAGCACTGCAGTCAGCTCAAGTCGAGGTCCAGTGCACGAACTGACCTCCAGCACACACACACACACACATTCACACACGAGGGAACAGGGACATGTGCCATAATTCGTTTTAGATGGACGCAAGTGAAAGACGTAGGACAATGGAACACAAATGACCTGAATAAAAGCATTGCGCCACAAACGATTGACTCGGCCAACCGCTCTACCTATATGGGAGGCAAACCGAAAAAAAACATTGAGAAAGAAAACGAAGCAATTCATCTTCAGCACTTTGTATACACTGCAAAACTTAAGTTTAATAATTGCCGAATAAAATACTTAATTAATTGTTATACAGAAAAAACATAAATAAATAAAAATATCAAAAATATTAATATCGTATCGATTTTCGGCATAAAAAAAATTAAATGAATTAATATTGATAATGATTAAACATATAATAATATTGAATTATTTAATATTTATATTTTATTTTATTTATATTATATATATTATATATATATTTATATAAACGAATATTATATCTGTTGCCAACAGCTAAAAATAAACCATAGAATTGTTCCCAGAGTTTTTAATACTTTTGAAGCTTATAAAATACTAAACAACTTACTGTTTTTGGAATCTTGAGCTAAAGATAGAACTATTAATAATCTTAATAAAAAATAAAATAAAAATAAAATGGTAAAAAATAAAATTAAAAAATTATAAATAAAATCAAAAGTTGAAACTAGTAATAATAAATTTAAAAATAAAATAAAATGTATAATATTAATTACTTAATTAATTTTGTAGAGTGAATGAATTTATAAAATGCCACAAATATGAGAAAATTCTTATTAAATTGTTAGCTGACAATAAAATAAATGTAAATCAAATTACAGTCGATTATTCTATTATATCCATTAACTATTCAAAGTAGATCTAAAAGAATGCTCTGAATGCCTCTACGTCTCAATCTCCCCTAGGAAATACAGCCTTGCCACACTTCATATTCGTGTAACTCTCTTCGCTGCCAATAATTTTCCAGTGTTGCAATTATAAAGCTGTTATGGCCAGCCATAAAGCACCGAAAATTGGCCAGCCCTGGGGTCTAGACAAACAATGGAGAAGCAGCGATTTTCTTTCTTTTTATACGAAGTTGAACGATTTTTATTAAAGGCTATCAGTCATTGAGGATGCGAGCACACACACATACACCTATATGAGTTGTTAATCCTTGCTGGGCGCTGGCTGCTCTACCACAATGCGGGAGCTGCGGCATAGCCAAGTGGGGCTGCTCCATAAGCCAATGGAGCTGTGTACTTGGCAAACACAGGTGCCGCATAGGGCGCCGCAAGTGGAGCAGCCAATGGAGCGGCGTACGGTGAGACTGTCCTGATGAGGGGAGCGGCGAACGGAGTGGCCAATGGGGCAGCGACTGGTCGGAAAACTGGAGCAGCCAGTGGAGCAGCAACTGGTGCCACGGCGCGAACAACTGGAGCAACTGGCGCGACTGGAACTGGAGCTGCAATCACGGGAGCAGCTGCGATGCCATTGAAGGTCCGGGCCACCACTTGGCTGCTGGCAGCCGTGACCACTGGAGCAGGTGCAGCCAGAACGGGCGCGGGAGCCAGCAGGGGTGCAGCGTGCAAGAGACCCGGCTTGGCGGCAGCGCAGGCGATCAGAGCGCAGATGACGACGGCCTGTGGAAGGTAGAGAAAGGATTAGTTGAAAGACCCCATCAGAGCATCCAAGAGGTGCAGAAAACTAACGTATTTGAACATGTTGAATTGATTTGTGTTTGGTTGGGTGTGATTTGATGGCTTGAAAGCGAAAAGCTAACTGATGTCAAACTGGGGCCATGCAGCGCATATTTATACGCGCCTGGCCGGCGCACTCATGGAGCTGCTGCCGTGGCTACTTAAAATGCGCCCAGCGTCCAGCACGTTGCCCATTATAAGTGCGGGCATTATAATTGCCAGCTGAGCCGCTGCTTGGCTCCAGCCAACGTCTTTGAGGGCCTCCCGCTCTGTGGCCGAAAACCCGAAGGGCAGCCAATTTCGATTGCCGCAGCTAATTATACAAAATTTGTATGAAAATCAAAGTGCGTGAAATTAAATTGATTGGGAAACTTGTGAATTTTATGATATATATTAAATACAAACTTTGAAATAAATCAGAATCGAAACCTAGATTTTTTCACCATTCAAAGCCAAAGCAAAACAAAATTTACTTTATTTATTTATTTATTTTTGTGTTTGTTTTAATATATTAAATTATGGCATATAAAATTTTTTATTTTATTAAAATTGTATCTACTGTATATGTTTTTGTTGCAAATTATTTATTTTATTAAAAACATAAAATTAATTAATTTTTATAATAATTTTATATTTTCTTTTTGTTTATAGATATAATTTTTTATTTATTTCTTTATTTTTTATTATTATTATTATTTTTTTTTTTTTGTAATATTCTATATTAAGATTAATATAAATATAACTTTAATTCAATATAATCTTTAATTCCAATAAACTAAAATTAAATTGAATATTTTTTAAATTTCAATAATCATATTTGTTTATTAAAATAAATTTATAACAATTATTAATTTCTATTCAATTGCTTATTTTATTTTTAATTAATACATATTAATTTTATTTATAGTAATTTGATTTAATACACATTGCAGTTGTAATAATAGTATTTTATATTTTATTTATATTTTTGTAGCAATAAATTTAAAACTTATTAATAATTCACTATGTATATTTTTTTATATTTTTATTTTTATTTTAAAAATACTCCTCATGTAATAGCTAAGATATTAGCTATAAAATCTATTTATCAGAAAAATCTATGTGCGGCCGCATTTGCTGCCTCGAGTCAACTTTGAGTCCTTGCGACTTGAGGCAAATGCGATGAGCTTCTGTCGGCTAAGCACTTCTCAGACACTGTCGTCTGACAGTGAACACATAATAAAGACTCCAGCATTTTATTTATATATATATATTTTTTTTCTATCTATTATTTTTCTGCATGTCATTTCCTATAAACCGACGTTCTAAGCTAAGCCGAGCAAACGATCAAAGCAGCAGACGAGGGCATAACTGGATTTCCCCCACAAGCGCCCTCTCTTTTCATGCCAAGGCGAAGGTGAATTGTGTGTGTGTGTGTGTGTGTGTGTGTGTGTGTGCTTGCAAAGCATCTTAAAGGTGTGCTAAAGCTAGCAATAAGAACTGTAATTCTTGACGTAAATACTAAGTAATATTTTATGTCACATAAATAAATCTCAATAAAAACATTCGTTTGTCATATAAATGTTATTTCCCTAATTCAGCTACAGATACCTTTTCCTCGCATAGGTTCTTTTTATTTATTTTAGCAATATTTTATAACTAAATGCTAAACACTTAAAGCACAATTCAGCTCCAGGTGGTTCGGAGAAATTCGACCAATTATACATTTTGAGCACGTTCACAGCGAACTTCAAATGATTTGCTCGCCCACACAGTACGGGTCAGCAAATACACACACACAAAAATACACGAAAATAAATATATGTACAAATGTATGTATGTGTGTGTGTGTAAACAAACGAGCAGTGAACATTTTAGCTTGTTGACACAAAATTGGTTTCATTAGGTTGAACACATTTTTATCAGGTCAAGGCTGATGCAATTCAATTGTATTTTAGGGTTTAGTGAACCTATTGATTAAATGCCATAAATAAATTAAAAGCTATATGGGCAAAAAGAACAAAAGTTAGAGAGAGAGAATGACAGGGACCCGGCAACAAGCAGCGGAAGTAAAGGGTATATTAAAATTATGTGATTGGGAGCGAGAAAGATATAGAGGACAATTGAGAGAGAAATGGTAGGACACAGAAAGAGATTGAGAGAGAGAGAGAGAGGGAGAGAGAGAGAGAGAGAGAGAGAGAGAAAGAGAAAGA